CTAACATGAACTAAGACTTGTATTTTTTAACAAAGATTAATAGCTATTGCTCATTGTGATTAATGCATTAACTAAGGTTAACTAATGAGGTCTAATTGTGAAGTGATACCTATTGGTCTTTATTCTTTTACTCTTTAATCTGTGTACAATTTTTAACATTTTTCTGTATTGCTTTATTGTATTTAAATGGTCAGTTATTTTTGTTATAAGAAAAAGTTGTTAAACCTGTTATACTGTATTAGGGCAACACTTTTTCAAAACTAAATTTCAACATTGTGATAATACCGTACACCGTGATAAAAGCATGAGCAATTAATTGCAACGTGAAAATTTGATACTGGCATATATGTGTGTGTGACCCTGGAGCACAAAATAATTAATAATAATTAATTGCAACATGAAAATTTTATACCGGCATGTCCTTATGTATTCAGCTTTCATATGATTTATAAATCTCAATTTCAAAAATGTACCCTTATGACCCTTTTGCGCCAAAACACTTGTCTTAAGTGTCAATTTTTCTAAATTTGGCTGAGATACAACTATTTGAAAATCTGGAATCTGAGGGTGCAAAAAAATCTAAATATTGAGAAAATCGCCTTTAAAGTTGTCCAAATGAAGTTCTTAGCGATGCATATTACTAATCAAAAATTAAGTTTTGATATATTTACGGTAGGAAATTTACAAAATATCTTCATGGAACATGATCTTTACTTAATATCCTAATGATTTTTGGCATAAAAGAGAAATGGATAATTTTGACCCATACAATGTATTGTTGGCTATTGCTACAAATATACCTGTGCTGCAGGGTCACATATATAATAATACGATGGGCCTAATAACATGTCAGTAATGTGTTGTGATTCAGGAGCGTCAGGAGAGCTCTGCCGTCACCGTCCCTGCGGCTTCAGAGAGACAAGCTTCTGCCTCGTCAGGGTCTCCGGTCGATGTGTCTGAGGGGAAGAAAACACTGACGAACAGACGCCGAACCACATCCAGCAGCAGACACAGGTCTGGATTAGGCCTGCTCCATTATGACAAGAATCATAATCACCATTATTTTGGTCAATATTGTTATATGAATTATCTATTTATAGATATCTATATATATATCAAATATATATTTTCTTGTAAATAACGTTGCTGTGACATCTACATTTTAGAGACCAGCAAAATGCCACAATTCTCAATACCACTGCAGAATACTAGTAACTAATACTAATATTTAAACAAAAAAAAAGTTATTGAAAATATTAAAACTGTCAGTAATAAAAAAGCAAAGCATAATCACACACTCACACGCACAGACTCACACATGCACACACACACACACTTTCTCTCGCACACACTCACACACACGCACACAGACTCACACATGCACACACACACACACTCCCTCTCTCACACACATGCACACACACACACACACTCCCTCTCTCACACACATGCACACACCACACAGACTCGCACAGACTCACACACACACACTCTCACACACTCACACACGCACACACACACATGCACACAGACTCACACACACACTCTCTCTCTCACGCACACACAGACTCACACAGACTCACACACGCTCTCACGCACACGCA